TATATTTAATGTATACATCTTATGACCCTAAATGAAGCTTAAATATAACTGTTATATATTAATTTTTAAATTAAAAATTGTTTGTTAAAGTTATTCTATATCTCGCCAAGGAATTTCGCATCTCTGCTAAGGATAGGTAGACAGCTAAAAATAAAAGAAAATTTATGGACTCACTTCAGTATGTCTGTCAACATCAACATGGCAGTTTATGCAAATTTGTGAGGTGGGAACAATACTTTCACGCAAATGGGTTGACTATAGACGGGGATTTGATTAGTAATTGGATTTGAACAGTTACAGATCCGTGGCTACAAGTAATTACAATCATTTCACTAATTGACACAATTTACAGTTCACTAGAACACACAGTGAAGACTTCTCCGCCTCCTGTGTCTTTATCCGTCTTCTGGCTATCCTGACCGAAGTTCTTGGTTGCTTTCCTCAGTTTCTTCGGGTTCAAACCTTCAGGCAGGCCTTCGTCCCTTCATCAACCTCACCTACTCACTATACATAGATATACTAAAACATTATTCGAAGCAGCTGAGACCACATTGTTAAATGGCTTAAGAATCGGTCGTATTGAAATCGCGACCACATAACCACATTAAAATAACCGAATTCAGGAATTGAAACCGTTCACATATGAAGATGTGTAGGCGGAAATTTCCAGTTCATATTCAAGCTAGAGTGTACCCTCCCTCCGTGCACCGGAAGATCGGGATTTTCCCAAATAACCGCAAGGAATCCCAGTTCTTAGAACGATGAACTGTGATGAATTAAGCTGTGACGGTGACCAGTATGCAAAGGCCCTGCCGAAAATTCAGCTTAGGTTGTCCTGTCGTGTTCTCATACAGTGATTTACACACCTCTTTTCAAGAGATCTTCAGACAATGTAAGGTAAATTTGCCTCTTGTTTAGTTAAGTAAGCACTAAAAACGAAGCGTATAGGGGACTAGAGATGTAGCTCCACCATTCTTGACCTCGGCATTATATGGAGGCGAGTGGTCAGCTTCACCCCTCTCCACCCCTTTACCCCAGGGGTAAGCGCCACCAGTAAGCAAAAAGATAAAGCTACCCTTGTAACAGGCCATGGAGGCCCATAGGGTTGTGAGACGTTGAGGGTCCCACAGTATATAGAAAATCGGCTCACAGATGGAGGTAGAGTTTTCAGCATTACGCGCCGGCCGCCCTTTACCCCCAAGAATATTCCCGGTACTCATTTCTGTTAGAGGCTGAGTCGACCCCAGAGTCATAGTACGGCTGGAAGGATTAGGTCAATTGAAAAAAATCCACCTCGTAGGGACTTGAACCCGCGACCTTCCGGCTTGTAGTATAGTGCCTCAACCAAGTACGCTACTGCGTGTAAGTGCCATCAGAACCCACTGGATAAGAGGTCTGGACGATGTGGAGAGGAGAAAATCTTGCCATGTCCGAAATCGAACGGGGACCGTCTAGCCTATAGCCCGTCACTATACTGACTGAGCTATCCTGACTCCTCTACAGACATAGTTGAAGCATAATTGTTAATACAAGTATCTAGAACAGTCAACGTATAGATGGTGCGCTTAAGTATTCCGAAAGACTAGATTTTGTAAGTTGCCAAACTATTTNGGTTAACACCACATGTACACGGTGCCAAATCCCAGAAGACTGCTTTCTTCATATTTACTCAAAGTCTTATAAATAACGGACAATTATTTTTACTATAAATTATAATAATGTCCATAATTAATCTATCCAGAGGTGGACGGACGAGCAGATATTATTCGAAGGTAAGCCTACATGTGCAAAATGGACGAAAGCTGTACGCATTGCGCTCTTCGACGTCATACTGCAGACTCGCGTGCCAGGTGTGGATATTTGAAAGTCATTGCTGGCCGGAAAACCTTGAGACAAGAAATCTGTAATCTATACTCTAAAGTTCAGAAAGTAAGGTTAATTCATTGTGCTAAATTTTGTAAAACACTGACACATTTGGCCGATCACAATGGCCGCTCGGTCTGAGGCATGAAGTGTCTTCGCCCACTCGAACACTTGGGTCGTGGGTTCCAATCCCATTCGAGGAATAGATATCTGTGTGCTATTATTCTGTATTTGTGTTGTCCTATGTGTAGGCAGCGGCCCTCGCGACGGGCTGATCCACCTTCCAAGGAGCCCTACCAACTTTGTATAAGATTACGAAACTGGAAAAGAGGACAGGGCACTACAAAGGGCTGTGTAGCCATTGATAAATGAATGGTCATATTCGATGTACCCGACGTTTCGATAATTCACTCTATTCCCGAGTCAGTGCGGCTGCATACCTTGGACTGTATAAGTTTCGATATGCTTCTGTGAGAACAAGCTGACGATTCTTTGGGATCTACATGCTTGACCGGAAGATGACCTAATTAACTGGTCAAGGAAGTCTGAACAAGAATTTTATTAAGAAGGTATGTGTATCAAGAATAGTGCTTCGCTTCTTCAAGTTTTCTTGTTTATGCCTATAATTTCGAAGCAAAAAAATGAAGTAAATATGTCCCTGCGACTAAGCAGTATTGGGCGTGGGGTTTATGCTCCACGAAATCTAGAACTTGACTAGCTACTTCACGATTTATCCGTTTTACCCTCAATACACCCTGCAGAGGAACGAGAATTATTAAGACGTATCGACGCACTTTTAAGAATAGAACAAATTAGAAACAAAAGTTTGCAGATGGAACTAAATATTCATTCCATTTATAATAAATAATTCCGGAAAATCCACCTGAGCCGAACTGACGGCAGAAAAAACGTACGCCAAAACACAAAACTTGCACATCATTGAGACCCAAAAGTTTTAAAGTAAGTCATTCAAATGGTAGTTATGAAATGGGAATGGGTTTGAGCCTAATCCATGGAGAATGTGCAGACCTACAGAACTACCCTTGGGGGGGGGGGAAGACTGTATGCCCTTCAGATGCGTTTGCTTACAAAATTAAAAAAAAAAAAGTAAAGCTATCCCTGTACCAGGCCGTTAAGGCCCACAGGGTTTTGAGACGTTGAGGGTCCCACATTATCTATACAATCGGCTCAAAGATGGCGGTAAGTTTGTCAGCCTTACGCGCCGGCTGCGCTTTACTCCCCAGGAAAATTATGAAAGACAATTCATAAACAGGCTCTACTGTATTTGCAGTAGTTCAAACAGCATGAATTACACATTAGAGTGACTCAGATACTGTACTACGTCTGAAGCTTCTAGTGAAGATGCCGATATAGTAATTACAGTTGTTTCGCTTTCTGTTGGCTCCGCCAAGGCTACAACACACACCTGGGCTGCAAATACGCACTGAATAACATGCAGGTGTTATAATAAAGGGTTACGAACTTTAAGTGGGAGTAGTTTTCACTTAAATGAGCAAAAATTCACAGTCAACGTACGTCCAGAAACCAGTACTTGTCGAGACATGGGCGATATTTTTTCGATCTCTACAGAGCATACTCTGTGTCTAGGTGGCTCCCATTTCATCGCACAGAGGTGCGCACTCTGTCGAAAATTCCTGGTTTCACTCACATCTGACAGGCTTCCTCTGCTTGTTGCAGTGATACGATCACCGCTGAATACACGAAGGATTTTAGGTGACCCCACAGTTACAAATGCAGAGCATTAAGATTAGGGGATAGTGCAGGCCAGTTGACTGGGCCTCCATGTTCTATATGCTGTTCTCTGAAAGTCTGGTCCAGGTGCTGCCTCACAGTGTGGAGAGAATGAGGTGGTATCCCATCATTCATTAACCACACGTGTTGTCCTGATGAAGAGATACGTGTTCCAAGTGTAGTGGCAAATCATTAGTCAAAAAGTGACGGTATACTACACCTGTTAGTCTATTAAGTAAGACAACTAGGCCTAAGGTTTGATCACCTAAGATCCCTACACAAATACTGTTGAGAAAACGACATTGATGTCTTGATGCTGCGGTCGTGTGGCGTATTTCAGCAGGCATCGATTTCTGGACACATGTTTACTGTGACGTTTCTGCTCAATTATATCCCTCAACCCTTGTTTTAACACCTGTATAGATGGGAAATAATATGTGAATTAATATTACAAATATCCGTGTTCATATATTTGAATATTTCCCTACAAGCTATATAAGTATTAGCCTTCTCATTCACTTATAATTATTAATAAGCAACTGTAGTGGACTGCAGTACACTTTCTCAGACATCTATGTTTATGTAAGACTGGAACTGTAAATAACTGGCCATCCGACGTTCAGGCATCAGAACGTGAAGATTCAACACTGATAAAATATTATGAGTGGAAATTCGTTCTCGCCAGTTTGCGTACGTTTCTGGCCTTCGTGTCAGTTACTTACAGACACAGATCTAGGTAGACAAACCCATCGCTTTAAGACCTATCGCAGCAGAGCTATCGTACTATTTACATATTTATACATAAATCACTTTTTTGTCTATCTCTTTAAATGTACGTATACCATAACAACAATATCTGGAACAAAGATTTTGTATCTAAGTGACGTCTATTTTTAAATTTATATACCCATTCTGCGTAGAAATGGGTAAATTCGAGTTGAGCTTCATATAAATTGGGAAGTATAACGGAAAAATAGGCTACCAACCAAAACAACCTCAAGAGATCTGTGTTTCTCATGGCGGTAACTATGATGGCCACCGCCATCTGGGTTGTGGTGTCCTGTAGTGTGGTAGATCTATACCGACGTTTCGGAATCCAGTCTTGGCTTACTCTTCTACACTGAAGGTGGTAACAATGTAACAGACTGCATGGCATGATATCCTTTAATAATATTCAACAAATAAACTTAGCTCAACAACTTGCATTGAAGGACACGAATACCAATTCTAATTTAAATTCGCAGGTATAACACGCGCCTACAAATGCATGTGGCGTGCCTATTCACCCACCAACCCATTAATCTGCCCCAACATCTATCTACTCGTCCCCCACCCATCTATTCATCCATCCATTCATCCATCAACCTACCTATCTACGTACCTACCTCTCCGTTTCTTCATGCATTTCCTCACCAAAGTGCTTATACAGCCATCTTTCCCACACAGGCTCCTGTTTGCACTTTGTAGTTGGCTAAGAATTTCCCTGTTTGTATGAGACACAAAGGTCCTCAACTACCATCATTGGACCATGTCCTGTCAGCTCAGTTCTTCATAACCTGTAAGGTGAAGGCAAAGTTGTTTCTGTGTTTAACTAATTAAGCACTACGCCATGAAGGCGTATGGGGGAGTGGATATACAGATCCATATTTCCTTGAGCTAGGTACTAGCTGGGCGTGAGTGGTCAGCTTCATGCCCCGGCCGTTTTACTCCCCGGGGAAAGAGCCCTGGCACCCATTGGATAGGACGCTGGGTGGGCCCCAAAACCAGTCTGGAAAACGTGGAGAAGAGAAAATTCTTGACCCTACCGGGACTCTTTAACTCCAACCCCTCCGTCGTCCGGCCCTTAGCCAGTCGCTATACCAAATATGCTATCCCGGCTCCCACAATTTGATAAGCACCTTCACAAAATCGTTAATATGTAACATTGTGTAGCAATGCCATGGAATTAATCTGTTATAAGTACACTGATAACAAAGTGTATGTAGAGGTAAAGCTGTCTCTTTGCTCAGAGAATTAAGCACTACGCCATGAAGGAGTATGGAGAAGTGGATGTATAGATCTATATTTTCTTGACTTCGGCACTAGCTGGAGGTGAGTGGTCAGCTTCACGTCCCTGCCGCTTTACTTCTGTGGTAAAGAGCCCTGGTACCCATCGGATAGGAAGCTGGGTGAGATCCAGAACCGACCTGGACGACGTGGAGAAGTAAAAATTTGTGCACACGCCGGGACTTGAACTCTGACCCCTCGGTTGCCCAGACCGTAGCCAGCCGCTATCCCGGTTCCTCTTCATAACCTGTTCCTGTCTCTATGCACCCTGGCTCTGAATTGCGCACAAGAGACTCGTAATTAAGCCTCGCTTTCTATAAATTCTTAACCTGAAAGGAAGTTTAGGACGTGGCCGATTTTACTTGTGGTACTGTTGGTTCGGTGTATTCAGGAACCAATTCGGACCGTAGTTGTGACGAAAGAAATTCACAGTGTCCCCATCATGCTTACGTCACGCCTGTTGCTTAACTGGAAGGGAAATAATTTAGGGGTCTGGATTTAATGAGCCGGTCACGGTAGCCGAGCGGTGTAAGGCGTGCACTGCCTTCTCTCGCTCGGATGCCGGGATCGTGGGTTCGAATTCCACTCAGGGCATGGATGTTTTTGTGTGCGTTTTTCTGTGTTTGTGTACAGGTAGGGGCCTTGCGACGAGCTGATCACCCGCCCAAGGGGTCCTACCGTATGTCTAAGATCTAGAAAAACCGAAGTGAACGGAGAAGTTCATGGAGGTAGGCCTAGGCCCACTGGGGCTGTAGTGCCAAGGGGGGGGGACTTAATGATGCTCTGGTTATTTAACGACAATGTTTTAGCTACAGAGATAAATAGAGTAAAAAATATAGGAAGATGATCAAGAAATGACAAGCAAATAGAGATCTTGGAGAATGTGGTATCATGAATGCTTACTCGTGTTGTTAAATTGTCAAAGCACGCATTAAACCGAATGTGGAGAGGGGTCACTCGATCCTCCTGTAGCCACGATTGTAGGTAGAAAAAAATGTTTCGCTCATACATTGGAAACCCCAAAAATTTTGAAAGGTTCTCTCCATCAAAATCTTCATTTTTATTTACTTTGCAGTTCCCACTAAAACAATTTATATAGTCCTTCTATGTATAGGAATGAAAAACTTATAAAAGGTCGTACTGTAAATATTACTTGAATAGCGCTTTGCGCATGCCTTTTTTTTTCTCACTCCCGCTACTGACTCAACTTTCATGATTATATAAATACGTAATCACAATACCGGATACACAATATTAATGTAAGAACATTTATGGAAACTAATAGAATATCCTGATGAATACTTAGGGGGAAATTTTGCAACAACACTTCCCACGGTTAATTATTCCAATCATAAGCCCCCACACATTATATTCCGCAAAGGAAACCGAAATCCCTACTTCGCTGAATAAGCACGTTATGAACTTGGAGAAGTTCTGGAAAGGAAGGTTTCTAGAATAAACATAATAATAATAATAATAATAATAATAATAATAATAATATTTTTTTTGTTTATTTACGTGCTGAGTTCAACAGACAATGACCAGTTACAGTCAGCAGGAATACAAATGACAATGCAATAAACAAAAGAGGACAAAACAAACAAAAGGAAAAAACAAAAGAACATGGAAATATTGATCAGTTAAGGTTGTTTATATTTAAACGTGAGAATCTAAAAATATATGTGGATTTACAAACTGCATTTTCAGCAGAAACACGTCTGTCTGAGGGGCAGTGACTCTAGGAGCCACTGACCATGGTAAAATGACTTTGCGAGTATCTTCCGAGCAGAAACACGAAGGCCGACTCTTTCAAGGAGAGAGAAGGAACATTTAGCTCCATTAAAGACACTTATTGAAACAATGCCGAAGTGATGACACCTGATATCCAGTGTCAGCAAATTTAATTCTTCCAATAAATTGTCACAATGAAATACCACATCTCGAAAGAATATACTGTGGCAAAGCGATACGAATTTTCTTTGCATGCCCTCAAGTTTAATGGGGTTAGTGATCGCAACAGAAGCATGTTCCGGTTTAGAGCTGACCTAAGAAAACATAACATCAATAGACTGTCTATGGTGGACAAGGAAACTGTAATTTTGAGGACTAAAAATAGTAATTTCATTGCATGTGAAAAAATAAAATCTACATGATGAAGAAAATGAAGTTGACAGTCAAATCCTTGACCAAATCTGTTCGCAATGTAAAAGAATTTCGAAGTCTGTATTGATAGTTCAGCACTTCTTTTCCCTGGTAAAAGAGAAAACTAATTTCCTTAAATTTTGCTTCATAAAGTTTGCCCAAAACGCCATAATAATAATAATAATTCAATTCAATTCAATTCAATTCTTGGTTTTATTTACGTGCTGTACTCAACAGCTGGTAGCCAATTACAGAGTCAGCACGAGGACACAATATACAGAGAGATTGATGAAAATAGTACAAAAATTCAATTGCAAATATGCACAATTGAAAGAACACAATTAGATGTTAGAGACGAAACCAAGCAGTGTCTAAGTAAAACATATGTCAAAGGTACTACAGAAGTAAATATATTAATGAAGAAGTGACAACAAGTGTCATGCAAAAAGTAACATGAACAAATTAAATAGACACATTTTTTAATAATAATTACAATAATAATAAATATAAGAATAATAATAAGAGAAATTAATTATATTTTAGGACTGAGAAATGAGATGTTTAGATAATTAATTGAGAAATAAATCTGATGCAACTATAAGAACAATTAAATAGTTAGATTTTTTAAACTTATTTTAGAATTACTAAAAATGTCTAAAGAATTACACACTAAATTAGCAGCAGAGACACATCTGGCTGACGGGCAGTGACTAGAGGAGCAGCAGAACAGGGAAAAATTACGGATGTTCCGAGAGGGAGCTCGAATACCAACTGTTTCTAGGACCGAAGGACAGTTTTTGTCACCTTTAAAAACACATATTAGGAACAAGGCGTCTATGTGGCGACGCCTAGTGTGGAGTGATCGCAGATTTAACATATCAAGCATATTGATGTAATGATANAAGTCTTTAATGCAGTCAGCGCGAAGTATGACAGAATTACCCAACCTATATGGAAAGTTCAAGGCAGTAGTTTTCCTGGTAAAGGAAATAATTCTAATTTTGCTAAGGTTGGGTTTCATAAAATTAGCCATGCACCAACTGTAAACTCTATCGATGTCGGACTGTAGACGTATACAATCAGTAGGGGACTTGATTTCTCGATAGATCTTGAGGTCGTCTGCATACAAAAGACAGCAGGAGTGGTTTATTACTTCACACAGTTCGTTGATAAAAATGTTAAAGAGTAGAGGCCCTAAGACTGACCCTTGAGGGACTCCCGACCGAGCAATAAAAGTAGAGGAGAATTGACCGGAAAAACGTACACGAGACACTCTATTAGTTAGGTAGCTAGAGAGCCAGTTGATGTATCCAGAAGACAGCCCATAGTTACCGAGTTTACGAAGAAGCAAAGCATGTGGAAGAATATCGAAAGCGTTTGTAAAGTCAAAGTATATGGAGTCCGTTTGACCCTGTGAACAGACAAGGGGGGCAGTAAATTCTAGGAAAGTGACTAAGTTGGTGACAGTAGACCTGGACTTAATAAATAATAATAATAATAATAATAAGGTAAAGTTATGTCTGTAACAGGCCGTGAAGGCCCATAGGGTTGTGAGACGATGAGGCCGTCATATTTTCCTCTACAATCGGCTCACAGATGGCCGTGAGGTTGCCAGCCTTATGAGCCGCCCGCCCTTTACACCCCCAGGAAGACTCCTCGTACTCATTTCTGTTAGAGGCTGAGTCGAACGCAGGGCCATAGTGCGGCTGGAAGGATTAGGTGAATTGAAAAGGCTAACCTCATTGGGACTCGAACTTGGACATTCCGGCTTGTAGCGTAGTGCGTGAACTAAGTACGCAGCCGCGTGCCCCCAATATCGGTAATAATAACTTAGATGTACCAGTTATCGGCAGAAGTAGCCACGATATTGAAAACTGACGACATTGCCGTACAGCGGGAAGGTCAAACAAACTTAAACATAAGTTGCAAGCCACGAAGCCCGAATTTATTGTGCATTAAAGATATGCTACTGTACTGTCCGTTTGATATTTTGCTTCTTTGGCCGCTCATCTTGCTGCTACCTCGTCTCTTCTGACCTCTTTTTAGCCGAAATTTCCTTATTACCTGCAACTGCATCATTCTTTCTGAAGTTTATTTTATCGCATTATGCTTTGCAACATTCTTCAATTCCTTAGCATATGTAAGTTCTTGTTTCTAACGTTTTGTTAGACCCTTAACCAAAATGGACGCATTTCCTTCGTCAGAATTTTCTGTTCTCCACTATTTGACCTTAGTTTCTATTATTTTTACTTTCTGAATCTTTTTTTCTCTTCTTTTGCATCAGCTCTTCTCTTATGTTCATGAGCAAATGCGCTTTGTAATGCCCATCGCCAAGTGTATAATAGTGCACGAAATCTATGACTCACCC